CCAAAGATTAAGTATATAAAGATGGCCGACTCGCGGAAAATCCTGTCCCCACTTTTTCACTGCGCATGCGTGAGAGTCTGGTAAGCGCCGAACTAAATTTTTGTATTGAAGTTAATGGAGAAATGTCGAATTTTCGCAATAAAACAGCGATTTTAAAAACATCTGCCGTCCGATCTTTATTTTGAGGACAAAATTTGAAAGAATATGTCAAGCTGCGTCTGTTGAACAGTAGATTATTACACGAATATGTTTAAAATGAACGAAAATTTGGATAAATGACCTCCGAAGGAGTGAGATCTTATACTGTCAACAAGTCAGGTGAGATTCTTTTCATTTCTTGATCATTTTTCGATAGTGTTTTGTGAAATTTCGTACCTTAGACAACGGATGCATATAGGACTATTGCTAACTGACACTAAAAATATGTTTGGGATGCGTACAACCAGAGTTTTTATATATATACCAAGACAATTTACTGCAGAGTTTGATTGTTCTATTAATATAAATTATAAAGACCCCACAGTCTGAAACTGAATCTTGCAGTACCTTTAAAGTATTTCTAATGTCTTGATGATTTTAGTTTATTATAATGTCAAGTGCTATTTGTATGCGTTGCTGGATAGTTCTAAGAAATAAAGAATTTAGACATGAAAACTCATTGAGCCTGTATCACAGTATCAGAGACCTGAACTTGATAAACATGAAAACCTATTCTATAGACACTACCCGAATTTTCCTCTGGCAATGTATAAACTACCCATTTAACAATGAATAACATTGTCTGCCTCGATTTCAAGTGATTGTTTTGTGTGCACTCAAGCAAACTCGATCCTTGTGCCTGCCTTTCATTAATAATAAATAAAATACTGTACTCAGTACAGTAGGTGGTGGATTTTGTTATAGTTAACCTTTTTTAAGCACTTAATCTTATAAAATGTAAACAATACTTTTAATTAATATATACAGACACACTTGTAGCATGATTGTAAGTATAATTTGTCCCCTCTTTTAGGACATAAATTTACTAGTGTATATATACATATATAACATTCATTTAAAAAAATAATCGTCATTGTCATTGATTATTAACATTGATTATTAACATTGATTATTAACATTGATTATTAACATTGATTATTAACATTGATTATTAACATTGATTATTAACTTTGCATTATCATTTGTTGAAATTACTATTCATTATTTCATATCACAACAATTTAGGTATTTACACAACATATGCTGTATAAATATTAAATACAATATAGTTACCAACATAGACGGATTTTCATATTTTTTACTGGAGTGGTGCCAGAAATTTTAGGGGGGTGAGCCGCGAGCAGGTGAATGAAGCAACACAAAGTGTCACCAAACCCCAGTAAGGTCTATATTCTAGGGATCGGATGGAGCACTATAGCCACGAGTGGGAGTCTAGAGAGAAGAAAGCAAAGTATCCCTGGAAAATGTGAAAAAAATCATGATTTCTAGCTTCGAAAAAACGTTTTTTGAAGTTGTCATATCAATGGATTTGGCCTGTCCGATTGTCTGTTGAGATTTGAGTTAAATGAACCTGTAAAAGTGTAAACCCAATAGGCCAATACACAATATGCTTACTTTTATAAAATCATTGACATTGTGTCGTTTGAATCCGAGTACAATTTATGATGCAACTCCGATGTAAATAATATTTGGGACGTAAAGATTAAATCTAGGCAAGACTATTTATAATAACGTTCATAAAATTTCCAAAAGTTCCTTGCAAGCAAGCTATTTGCATGACAAGGCACTGCAAACTCTATTCAGGGGAGATAATATAGTTTCAAAACTTTACAATTGGTCCAATAAACCAGTGAATGCAAGTGAGGAGCAATTAGTTTCAGAGTATTGCACTGTCTTTTTCTGTTCGAGTGTACTCCTATGTTTATTTTGTATCATCAACACTCTGCACGTTGGAGTGGACTATTTAATTATTTTTTATTATGCCGAATATTGGGGGGAGGGTGGAAATTTTTTGGAGGGTGGACATTTTGTTTGGGGGGGTTATAGCTAATATTTGGGGGGGGGGGGGTAGCACCCCCCTGCAGTCCCCTACAAAATCCGTCTATGGTTACCAAATCACAAATGATTCATCTTAAGATATTTTCTGTTTTTTTGCTTTTTGTTACCAGCTCCCGATTCAGGAATTTCAACGCGTAGTGTCTTCGCATTTTTACAAAAAGTTCCAGTAAATATGTCACAGGAAAGTTGCTGCAACGAGCTTCAAATGTTGGCAAGGACTCTGTAAAATGACTCTTTATCTTTCTTTGATGCACACAACTGGAGAATTGTTCCACAAAAAGTGTCTCGATACTCTTAATATATTTGACAAAAGTGTCAACAGGAACAACTAAACTTCCAAAGGAGGATTCATCATATGATTTAAAAAAGCAAAATAGCTGATTGCTCTCGGTAAGTGCAACTACTTTTAGATTTTCTTTGCAGTATGAACAGTTGTGCTTGTCAAAGCACTTCCGCAGGAGATATCCAGACACATAAGTAATGGCATTCATACTGGCCAGGTTTTCCTCCATTGCTGTTGACTTATAGTCAGAATCATTTTCTGTAGATGTTTGTGTTGTAGAAGTTGGAGATGTAGGTTTGCCAATGGACTTTAAATTCTTGGATGATGCGAGAATTACATCAAAATCGGGTGCACAGTTGCCGGTGGACATTGGTGATAGGTAGTTGTCGAAAAACAGCTTTCGAAATGCTCGAGTGAACTGGAAAGGTGTGGGGCTGTCGTTATTGCCTCCTTGCTGACGAATGGTTCCAAAGAAATTTTCTAAAGGATCTTGATTTAAGCGTCGAGTCAGGAGAAACTTCATTGAACATTCATTATGAAGATGGCTCCACAACAGATTCACTCCATTTAGCGTCATCCGGAGTCCATTCAAGCAACGGAGTTGGTTGGTCTTGTCTTCTTTAGTGCTTCGTTTAATGACTTTGATGGTAGGAATGAATTTTAGCATCTCATCCAGAAAGGCGTGATGAGGAGAATCTTCAGTAATTGGCTTCTTAAATGTTTTTGTAGTATTGAAAGAAGAACTGTTGAGACAATCGAAAATGTTGTCCAACTTCGAAAGCAACTCAGCTGTTCCAAGAGCCACTGCAGGTAAAAGACCAAGCGAGACATACGTCATAATGGAAGACGCCACAGTGTTGCTAAGGATTTGCGTTGCATACTTCACTTTCATTTTCTGAAAACCGTTTGGGTTTATGTGCTTCTTTGTTAATTTAGGGCAGCAACGAATTGATTGTTTGGAATCCTGTTGCTATACTGATTCGATGTCTCTCCATGAAGCAATTTTTTCTCCGAAATGAAAATCATAATTCATCAGGTTGTTTCGAATTGCTTTGATCAGGTGAGGAGGGTCATACAGGTATACTAGCTTTCTTCCCTTGTAGGTGAACCAGGGTTGGTTTGGTGTTATGTTAAGTTCACGAACAAGCTTCTGGAAGTTTGATCCTAAATCAGAGATGATTCCTTTCACATTTAAACCAATTGATGTAACCTCGTCTATCGTGTCAAAAAGCGTGCTCTTTATCTTCTCACTTGGGCATGCCTCATGGACCAGAAGGTACCCCAATGGCTGTTTCCAATTCTCCGTTATTCCTCGTGCCATAAATACCAATGCTGAATTTGCTACCTCTCCAATACGATCTCCATTTCCAAAATCCACCACACCAGTCACTTCATCTTTTAATTGATCGTACTGTAGGTTTGCCTTCAGGGAGAGCTCATCCATAGTAATAATGCACATCTTACTTGCTTCACTCATGACATCGACTTTGGTCTTTATCGCTGCCTTTGCTTCCTTTGTTAATCCTGATGAGGTCGGTAGCCCTGAAATCCACTTTGTCAGGGTACTTCGAGTGGGAAGACGAAAAAATTTGGCAACCAATCTGTAGGCTTTACCACTTACATGAAAAAGGGAAAGAGCAAAGGCTTTCATCTCTTTTGAATATCGTTGGCCTTTCTTCTTCTTCTTGTGGAGGGTAATTTGCATGGAAATAAAGGTGACAATGGATTCAGGGAGCATGGTTTTCAGTGCTTTTATGGCTGTGTCTTGATCAACTTTTGGCTTTTTCTTTTTCGCGTTCAATGCATGGCGTAGACGTTGAATCTGCTTCTTCTGTTGCTCTATTTTCCTTTTGTATTTTTTTTCCTTTTCTTGTTTTCCAGCTTTTTTTCTAGTACCACAAGCATTGGAAGCTGATCCAGTATCTGTTAATTGTGTTTGAAGAAAACTGTTACTCAAATGCATTAGCATAGATAAATTTTAATTGTTTAGTTAGTTCTTGGGTTCAACCAGTCAGTTGAATAGGTAAGGGGCCATTCACAAAGGATGTCCGGCCAAGTTATGGATTTCAGACCCCCCTTAAGTCTGAATTAGTGACCCTCCATTGACATCCGCCATTCTCGTAAAACCATAACCTTTAGATGTCAAGAGTAAAACCTTTTTACTTTAGAACTTTTTTATAATCTATAAATGGCTTGAAGGAAAGAATTAGAATGCTAATTTCACAATGGAAGAGAATTCAAAACGCTAGAGGAAAAGAATTTGTTTTGAATTTTTGGGTTTCGGACGACTGATTGCTAAAAATCCTCCCCCCATGTTCCGAGTTGTCCCCCCCCCCCCCCCCCTCGGCTCAGACATCCTTTGTGAATGGCCCCTAAGCCAGAATTATGGGACTGAAATTTAAACATCACCAGCAACCTAAACCATGCATGCCCCCTGTCAAATTTATGAAACCCAAGCATACTGGCATTTTTCACCTTTGTTGAAGCTTGCATCGTCTGATTTGTTTGTTTCAGTACATGGTCTGTTTCTATCTGTAGAAAATACATATATAACCAAATTGATATAATAAGGGTGTTTTAAAAAACAGGGGTGAATCCAGAAAGGTGTTTCTAGGGGGGTGCTGGGTGAGCAGCCAAGTGTTTTTTTATAATTCTTTAGGTGGTGGTGAGAGAGCATTCAAATGAATTTGCTTCCTAACGATTCAAGCGCCGAAGGCACAAGCTTCTTGGGGAGTGAAAATTTTGAAAATTAGAACCCTAGAAATGCCATTTCCTGCAATATGGACATTGAATTAAAAGCTTCAGTTTGACTTCAAAAAACGAAAAACCTTGGAAATTATCCCATATTTCTGAATTTGATTTTCTTGCACCCCTGTTGACAAGGCCTACAGGGGTGTGCACCCCTGTGCTGCTGTGCACCTCCCTATAAATCCACCCCTGTTAAAAAATCTGCAACCCTTGGAATAAGATGTTTTTAGAATTTGTATGAATCAGCACTAATTGACCATTTGCGTAATAGACTAAATTTTGATCTCAACAAAAATTTCATTATAGCTTGAAAGAGCATCACAAAATTAGTAATATTCCAAATGTTGTAAAATACGGAAAATATAGCCTTGCGAAATTTGCAATTTTTAGTCATTTTAGATTACAAACCGGAAATTGACAGCCTCGAAGGGTTTGGGGCTGTCAATTTCCCGTTTGTAATCTAAAATGACTGAAAATTGCAAATTTCGCAAGGCTATATTTTCCGCATTTTACAACATTTTGCAACGAAACTTTGGAATATTACTAATTTTGTGATGCTCCTTCAAGCTGTGATGAAATTTTTGTCTAGACTTGTTTAGTTCAAAATTTAGTCTATTACGCAAATGGTCAATTGATAATTCCTATTGTGTCACTTTCTTTTGGGATACCCTGTACAATTAACTTGGACAATTAGAGCGTATACTGTACATAATGGCAATTGGACGCTAATTTAGTAGTGGCTGTTATACACTTGCATTCCAGGATTGCAGTTTTTTTAAACACCTGAAAACTAAAGTTGTAGAAACATACCCTGACTTGCATGTGATTTCTCTTGTCTTTTGGTGTTAACGTGGTTTGAGGAAATGGGTTCTAATGAAAAGTAGAAAAAGTAGTTTTAACAGAATTTTTTTTTTTAAATATAAGTATCATCGGTATACACGATTACATGTGATGCAAATGCAGAATGCATGTAAATATATCGAAATGTTTCGTACCCTTTTCATGATCAGGTTCTAAGTCCATGCTGTCTATCATCTCATTCTCCGCATACAATGGTGTCTGATTAATATTATCATCACAAGCAACTTTAAAATTAGACGCAAGAAAATTGTTACTTTATGTTAAAGTTCTAAAAAATATTACAACATAAACTTGTTGCAAAGCAGACGTCTGCATATTTAATTAATGTAAACTTCACCTTGAGCATTGCGTTGATTTGATAGTTCTTGTTGGTTTACTCGTCTTTTTTTCTTGGCTGCAGAGATAGGGAACAGAAACTTTTGAAATTTTGTTTGCAGAATAAAAGCTTATTATAGTTGTAAGCTGTATGAAATGGTAACTGACTGCAGTAAAGATTTGTTGTTAAACTTAATATTCTTTCTGTTTGGCTTACATGTTTTGTTTTCAAGCGGTTCTTTTCGGACTAACAGTCTCCTCTTCGTGCCAATTCTTGGTGGTGGATTCGGTATATCGAATAAAGTTGGAACGGCTCCCATAATAAGTTTCTTCTTTGAAGGTTTGAACATTTCATCTTCAAAATGCGCGCTGCATATTCTTATATTATTGTACAAGTATTTTGCATCCTTTTTTAAAAAATCACTTCTCCTGCAGTTTATTGCCCATCTTTTTGACCTTTTAAATAAAAATCACGCTTTTCAAGGGCTGGAAATGGGAAACATACCGTCAATTTATTTTTTCGTTTTGTTATAATAAATTAACTTACCTCGCAGGATCTTTAGGAAAGCGAAAAAAACACAGATATTGATTTTGAGTTTTGTTGTTTTGGCAATTTGGCGCCGAACAGCAACACTTTCCCGGTTGTTTTTTTTTAAACATTTCGTCGTACTTTTTAGAGCCATTCCAGGAGTATGAAAATATTGCTTCTACAATTTATACGTCGAGCAACATTGCGTTTATTTATGAAATTTAATCGACTGAATCGACAAAAACTTTTTCTTTGCAAAATTTTGTGATTTCTCTCGTCAGACACAACTTATTGCTTACGTGATGCTTGCCTTTTATATTTGGATTGCAGGTTAACATTATAGGCTATAAATTTAAACTTGATAAATTTATACTTTTGACAAAAAGAAATAAAACAATGGTGCAAAAAACAGTTTATAGTTGACAATTGTGAAAATCAAGGTCAAAATCATTTATTATATTAAATGTAAAATATTTTAAAAACTAAATATATACATTGAAATTATCAAAAAATATTAGGAATACATGTATAAAACGAGAATAAATTGGAATGAATTATGTTTTTACCTTTGAAAAACTAATTTTGTGTACGTTAGTTTTGATCATTCACTACTGTACACAAATTTTACTATGTTTTTAAACTAAACCAGTGAACAAATATTCACAAAAGACACAAAATATGATGAAATACATGCCAGTAATTTAATTTCCTTTTAAAACCTTAAACTTTGAATGTGCATGTTGTGTTATTACTTATTTAGACTCTTAAACTCAATAAATTGTCTTTGTAGCAAGCACCTTGTCTGTTGTAAATCTGCTCTATGCACTTGTCATCGGAACTCCCTTACCACCCACGCACCCACCCTGGGGAAACATGGGGCATAGGTGGGAGATGTAGTTTGAGGACAAGATTAGGCATGATTACATGTGGGCTACCCATAATCCTATGGGTAGCCTAGATTACTATTGTCGAATGGACGACTGGTGTTTTTGCACAAGAAGCCATGTTAGTGTTTAAAGTTATTCATCATATACTACTTTAAATATTCTATGTTTGAAACTTTTACTAAATGTGTTATTCTAGAAGTGGCTTTGGCCTGTTTTGCTTGCCAATATGTGGGGGGCTTTTTATTTCATTAGTTTCTAAAAAAAGTCTATGCCCATGTTTCCCCCGGGGTGAGGGGGGAGGTGTGTTTCCAGTGACAAGTGTATTAGGCACTGTTTCAAAGCTAATTTTACTGAGTGTAATAGTCCAAATAAGCAATAACTCACCATGCTTTGCATGCTAAGAGTTAAAGTTTTATGTCTTTGGGAAGACAACCTTAATTGAATTAGCTATAAATGAACAAAATGTTTAACCCATTAAGCGCCAGCGCTCTCCCCTTGGCGAGCAAAATCGTCTGGCGTTAGACACAGTAAAATAATAAAGTAGGGCGCATCAGGCCGCAATGCGACTCAATGGGTTAAGACTCAATGGGTTAAATAGACACATGGGCAGATAGGCCAGTTAACTCATTAAGTGCCAGCGCTCTGCCCTTGACGAGCAAAATCGTCTAGCGTTAGACAGAGTAAATATTAAAGTAGGGCGCATCAGGGCGCAATGCGACTCAATGGGTTAATAATTACAATAATATTTAATTACTGTTATGGGAACAGTTATCCAGTAACATTTTAATATAATGAGGGATATGCTTTGATACCATTTTCTTCGGTAACAAAAATAATTGCTGTTTCTTGGCAGCTTGAGTGCCATCAGAGAAAGCAGTATCTAACACAACTCTGCATTAGCTACCACAACTCACATTATGTTTGAAGAGATGCACATGTTTACATTTAACAATACTATAAGTTTTGTATACTCTAATAAGGGTTAAGTCAATGTGGAATATACAAAAAAATAATAAAACTCAGAACATCGAAATGTATAGAATATTTGACAGTATTTTTCAAATTTGATAGCTAAGCATTGCACAAAACATTGTTGATCAACAATCCATGGTCATCGCCTTTACCCAGATAGTCAAAGAGCAGATTTGTAGTTCTTTTAACATGGAAAGTCTGTCAACTAAAAAGAGAATAGTTTGGTTATTTGTTGGGTGTATTTTACAGAAATAAAATTGGATGAAACACAGCTGCACACACATAGACAACCAGTGTGTGGTTGTATTTGTTATAAGCAGGGACCGTCAATGGTCAAACAAATAATGTCTATATACAGACTATAAATGCAAGTCATTGGTTAAATACACTGCCTGGCCAACTGATATTGTTATTTAATTAAGCATAGAAATGTATTAATAATTGGTACTTGACTCAATTCAATAAATTCAAATCCCCAAAATTTCAGTTAACAGTATAGTGCTTGGTCTCAAATATATACTTCAGGTCTAAATGCGTTTACTATCTTTGTGTATAACGAAACATTTTGGTACTAGCCTATAAACAAAATAATATTTCTATATATTTGAATATTGTTTGTATTAGTATATTGTTTGTACCCTGTACAGTATATAAAAACTCTGGTTGTACGCATCCCAAACATATTTTTAGTGTCAGTTAGCAATAGTCCTATATGCATCTGTTGTCTAAGGTACGAAATTTCACAAAACACTATCGAAAAATGATCAAGAAATGAAAAGAATCTCACCTGACTTGTTGACAGTATAAGATCTCACTCCTTCGGAAGACGTTTATCCAAATTTTCGTTCGTTTTAGACATATTCGTGTAATAATTTTCCGTTTAACAGACGCAGCTTGACATGTTCTTTCAAATTTTGTCCTCAAAATAAAGATCGGACGGTAGATGTTTTTAAAATCGCTGTTTTATTGTGCAAATTCGGCATTTCGCCATACAATTCAATACAAAAATTTGGTTCGGCGCTTACCAGACGAAACGCGTGGAAACCGCGTGGGCTTTCGAAACGGGGGACACCGAGAACAAAGGAATTTTCCGCGAGTCGGCCATCTTTATACACTTAATCTTTGACGTAGTCAATGAATCTAATTAACGCGCGCGCATCCAAGACAAGAGAAAGGGTTTTTCAGTGGTGGGGCAAATCTGCCAACGGGCTCATTTTCCTTGACATCCACGGATAGTATGCGATACCGAAAGGTGTGAGCCGAGTACACCAGGCACGAGTTAACTAGGGGGATCTGGGGGCATACCCCCAGCAATTTTAAAAGTTTGGGTCTCTGAAATAGCATTTTTTGCATTCTGAGAACACATAATAGGTACGCATTGCGTACATGTGGCTAGCCTAATCAGTCTGCTTAATGCAGCTGGATTTCACATTGTCATAAACATTCATTACAAACATTCATTGTGATACAAAATTAATAATTGCAATAGAATAATGGTCAAAATCAAACAGATGCAGTGCACGTGTATCTTTCTTACAATGCCAACAGCAATCACTCGATTTAAAAGCAATTCCAATGCTTGATAGCAATGATGCAGCCAACAATATTATTGAGTCACACTTTAATAAATATTTTGCTTTAATAAAAGCATATACAGCAACTAATGATGTCAATTTATTGTTTTTCAAAATTTCACTCTACAAAAATATAGTAAGAGGATTGGTAATGCATGTCTAAACAAGCCAGTAATTCGTTAAGATTTCATTGCATAGGTTTCTTGTTACAAATTTATTCTGGTGTCCGGTTTAAAAGCTACTAGCTTTTCTTGAATTGCTGGCATCGCAGATTTCATAAAACCTTTAAATTCAAAGTTCGCAATTAATATAATATTTAATACCAGATTTTTAAACATTTGTTTATTTGTTGTAGAATCTAACAGCATCAGAATTTATAATGACTCATCCAATCGATCATCTCATCACCACTAACAGAGGCGCCGGAATATCGATAATTGGGGGGGGGGGGGAAGATATTCATATATTCGTGTTCTGCCTAATTAATTCTTTTGAAATCGATTGTTTTTACAGTCTGTGAACGTGAATATATGAATATCTGCCACCGTTATTATCGATATTCCGGCGCCTCTGAACACTAAAACTTTTGCCTGATAGTAATTGTACTAATGTACTGACCTGATACTTGTACATTCTGATCTTCCTGTATTATCCAATATAATAACCATGCAGTCACAATAATTATTATCTGCAAATTCTGTGTTGCTTGAAGTACTGTGCTTTTATCTGCAAATTGTTTAAAAAGAACAAAATATTTAAGGCAAATCATAAGATTGAAAATATTACATGTAAAAGATACAGCTATAAATTTAAACAACATTTAACTCTAGCTACAAAAGTATATGAACATGCTACTCAATCGACACTGCTGTTAAATGCTGAAAGAAGCTTCTATGCTTTTGAAAGAATGCATAAAAAGTCGAAACTTGTCGATATGATCTCAGCACAAAGGCTCTGGGTTTGCTTTTTCATATACTCTCACAATTGCAAGGTTCTCAATGTTGTATTGTGATTACACTGACCTTCAGGATTGTAGTCACTGTCGTACTAAGTTTCTGAAGAAAAACGGGGTGTTGGGTTCCTCCCCCAGAAAATCTTTACAGTTTTGAAGCTCCATAAATGCATTTCTGGCATTTTCTAAAGCAACTACGTCCCTGCTGATCTTAGATCAGGTATTATTTATATCTGGACCATATATCCAAAAATAAACTGCATTGGAATCGCTGGGCCGCAGCTTCGATTCACGCCAGGGACTACAGCTGCATTTTTTGCAGCTCTTCCTGGCTTGTTTTAATAAATGTAAATGCATTTCCACAAATCCACTAAATTATTTCCATTTTCACGATCCTTCAACTGTACGTAAACAGACTGAGTTTCCATTGCACTGT